TTGTATAACATTTCTATAAATCTAATTATACATTGAACCCATTGAACCCAATGCTTTTGTTTTGTGTGTGTGTGTGTTTTTTTTTTCAAATTCACAAAATGCTCTTTTATTGTTTTTAATATCATTATGTACATATATAATGCTATTTACAACTGTTAGTTATTAAATTTTTCTGAGTTTTTCGGTTTATGGAACTTGCTTACAGAACGTTGGCATTGAATTACAGTCCTGTATAAATTTTTAATTTATTTAAGCTTTCTCTTTAAGTCTATAAGAATTTATAAGAATCACAAACCTCTATTATTTTATATGTATTTATTTTCTCTTTAAGTCAATTAGTTCTCTTTATGAAAATAGTCTTTGCGAATATATATTCTTATATTTTGTCTATATTTTGTTGTAACCCACTTTCAAGCTACGATTCTGAAGACATCCTCTCGATATACATAAAACCTCTTCTTTTTTCTGTGCCATCCATGCCTAAACGAGCCTTTGTTCGCATTGTCGTAAATATATATAAATCTTTTGAAATATCTACTTTTCGGGCAGTGTGTATTTAATGTTGAATATGCAAATTGCGCATAGCTAATTTGCATTTATGACAACAGCAATGAAAAGAAAAAGAGGAAAAAGGTATTAACTAATAATCTGGCTAAAGGCGACGAAAAACGGAGTCTCGAGGCGCGACAACGACGCTTGAAGATATGCGAGAAATTTACAATAATACTTCCAAGAAGGCAAAAGCCCAAGCAGAGCCGACAACGATCATAAAGGTGGGGTTACAGGAGGCGACGGGGCAGCGTCGGGTACGTCGACGGGGACGGGGACGGGGGGTGAGGGTGGTGTGTGCTGCAAGTCCGCTGAGATGCGTTGCTGTCCAGCGCTATGAACTGACCATGACGAGCTCCACTCGAGGCTGGCCAAAGGTGTCGCGCGCCAAGCAAATTAGCGTCTGTGTCCAATTGGAAAACGAGCCACAGACGCGACACACGCACACTCCTATACATATATATATATATATACAGCTGTTGTATGTGTGCGTGTGTGTCGCCTTGTCACGTGAAATCAAATCAGGCATTACAATTTTACGGCCAATCGAGAATGTAATTGAGGCGCACAGCCGTCGCGTTGTCTGCCGCAAAGTCCCAAAAACGTTTTCACACCGACTTTTCCGGCTGCGGAAAAACAACAGGCCGGCTTCCGCTGCCAGCAGCAATGGAGCATGCAGCGCAGCTGAGCTGAGCTGAGCTGAGCTGAGTCTAAAAATAACTAACTAATAAAATATACATGTATGTATGTATGTATGTAGGTACTTAATAGTTCTTAACACTATTTTCTATATGCATTATTAACAACTATTTGTTGATGGCCTAATTTATGCTCGAACACGTTGTCGGATTTTCCCAGTTTTTCCCAGCTTGTCCTTTCGCTTGTTGTCCTGTTGCGTCCATTGTTTGGATCACGTAGCGACCGTCGATATCGAATTTGTTCGATCTGCGCGAGCAGAAGCTGAAGCTGTAGCTGAAGCAGAAGCAGAAGCTGTAGCTGAAGCAGAGGCAACTATGTTGCCAAGTGAGCAGCAGCTAAGCAGTTGAGGAGCTGAGGAGTTGAGGAGCTGCCACTGTCTGCCCATGTCCTTTGTGCGCATCCTTCTATTCCGCTATCGGATAACAGCGCCCGCATTCACGTTTCAGATTTTGCCATCGCCTGAATCTTTCTTATACGAACTTGTAAGTTTTTGTTTCTGTTGTTTTTTTTTTTTTTTTATTTTCTTCTTCTTCGCTCGGTTGTAAACAAGGGTTAAAGCATTTTGTATGGAAAATATGGGATTATTCGCTGCCTATGTGTGATCGTATGTTGTCCGATATCGATCTCTGGTCATGTAGGCATGGGAAAATTATGACTATACGTTGCTGACCCCTTTAAACTGAATTTTTGTTTTTGGTTTTTTTGTGGTATTTAAATCGGTTTTTTAGTGATTGTAAATTGAACAAAACATTCTAGAAAATAATGACAAATAATAGTAATAATAGTAATTGAATATGTTCTTTGTAGGTGATTTATTATTCATAAGAAACTCCGGTTATTAAGTCTTCTGTTGAAAATTTGTTTTTGTACAATTAATGAGTAAATACATTTTTTGATTATTTGTAGGAGTAAAAGCTTACAACTGGAACCTAGAAAGTTTATAAGCAGAAACTTCTATAAAAATAGTAGTAGAGGGATATGTTCTTCTATAGAACGCTCAGTTCAAGGTTACTTTAAAACTATTTTATTTATCAGCATTAAAGCCGATTTGAAATTTGATTTGATTAAACATAGCACATACAGTAAATTCCGCTTATAGCATCTGTACGGTTATTGCGACGAAAATTCTAGTCCCCAGAAAAACTTATATGGTTCTCTATTGTAAATAAAGAATTACTTTATAAAATATAATGGATACCTATAATTTTGGAATAAATCTATATTTTCGTCTGAAAAAAGAATTTCTATTTGATGAGCACTGGTATAGGATTTACATTCTAGTCGTATATTCCAGTAAGCAAGAGCTCTACTCTTTCTTTAACTCAACGTTGGTTCTATTTTTTCAAAGCAATACAATCAGCTTGTTATTTCTTCATACTCTTGTCTTATAGGTCCAGCCAAACAAAAAGTGTTTGCGCTTTAAACTTATTAATCAATGTATTTGTCTAGCAAAAAAGCCAAACATGCAATATTTTACTACTAACAATCTATTCATTCAATGCATATCGAGCATAAAATGGCGCCACGATGATTCAGTGTTCTCCTATCAGTGGCTAAGCCAGCAGATATATATATATATACATATATTATATTAATATAACTACATAGTAAAGGTATATATATAGTAGTTCTTTTACATTTTTGCACGTTATGTGTTGATAAGCCAAGAAGAAGAATAAACAACAACACTATGTAGTCATCAGCATTACAACAACAACAACAACGCCGACAGCTGAGCTGAGCTCAGCCCGAGCAAATTGTGCAGCGCGTGCAAGAAATTGTGAACGTCACCAGCGAGCGATTAGCTCATCATCGACGTCAACAACAACAACAACAACAACAACAATAATAACAATAAACAATTGAAGCAAAACATTGTAACACCCACAGAAAAAAGCAAGCCACAAAAAAAGTCCAAAGCAGCAACGACAATAACAATCAAAACAACAACAACAACAACAGCAAAAGCAACAACAAAGCTTTGCACATATCGAGCACACGTGCCACAGTGGCGACACACGGCGCACAGGTGCCTAAACATATGTACGCGTGATCGGCCATAAGTCAGATCAATGAATGAAAACGATAGCGCGCCGAGTGAGTACAAAGTGTTTAAAAAATAATAACATCAGCAGCAGCCACAATAATAGTAACAACAACAGCAACAACAACAGCAGCAGCAACAATAAGCCACGAAGAGTTGAGTTGAATAAAGTAATGCGCGACTGGCTTTATACCCTATAGATAGGCTAGGCATTGCTTTTTGATTTGTGAATATATAAATATAATGATTAATTGTAAGATTAATTAATGATTGATTGATTAACAGACTGTTTGGCTTATATCATGATTGAAAAATTAAGTTTGCCTAGATTGATCAAGCTAATTATTGGACTATGATAAGATAGATAGTCATCTAAAGTCGTGGGTTTATAGAATGATGCATATGATTTGAATATGATGACGATCGAGTGACTGAGAAATCCGTGATGGAGACTGAGACTATGACTGACTGTCTGAATATTCAAATAATTGATTGATTGATTGAGAGACAAGTTATTCAAGCATGAATAGGACAGAAATATTTATGCTAAGGAAATAAAGATTTCAGTTTAGATCTCGAATTCCTCAAAGATGGATTTGTTTTTATTTATTCTCTAGCTCTAGATGATTGAGAGACTGTTTGACTGAGCCAGTGAGTGCTCTTGGACTAATCTAGTGCTAGTCTAAGTAAGCTATGTAGCGGCTTATATTTCCTACTCCAAAAAAAAGCTCTTTCGTAATAAGTCCATATAAGATACAAATTTAATGATAATTGAAATGTATGAAATATATTTTGATACAGACAAATTCTTGTTAGATTTTTGCAAAGTAAAATTCTAAAAAATAAGAGTTTGAAGCTTAAGAAGTCCCTTGCTTCACTTGCACTTAAATTGAAGTTTAATACACCCTAGTGTAGCACACAGTCTAGCAATGGGTGCTTAGCGCATAAAAACTTTAAAAAGCTGATTCAAGTATACAAGTTTATTATTGTCTTTGTTTTTGTGGCTTATCTGTTTGGTTTAAAAAATTTTTTTTTTATTTTGTTGGTGTGTCTGTTTCAGGGGTCAACTGACAATGTCTTAAATAACTTTGAGTTTCGCCTTCTGTTCTGCCTAGATCAGCACAGCGGCAAAAGAAAGTCGAAGTCGTCGTAAGAAGAAAGCGCAGCAGTTTCCAGTGAAATGTCAACCGTTTTTCTCACTTTTCTTCTCATTTCATTTCATTTAATTTACTGCTTTTCATTTCTTTTCATTTTTTTTGCAAGCTGCGCACAAGTCACGGCCGCGTCGAAAGTATTGTTTATTTACCTAGCTGAACGCCGCCAGCCCCCGCGCACTCGCAGTGCAGTTGACATTGTTGGGCGACATTGAAAATGCCCGAAAGCCAATCAAAAGCGGAGCAGCGATACTGGCAGCAGCAGCAGCAGCAGCAGCGGTTGTAGCGGCAGCGACGGCAAAGCTCAGCTCAGCTCAGGTCAGCTGAGTTGAGCTCAGCTCCGAAATGCAGCGGCACCAAGTGCAGCGCGCGTCGCTTTAGCTTAGTTTAGTTTAGTTTAGAACGAAGCAGTCGCAGCAAAGGGCGCGAGAGTTCGTTCGGTTCGTTCGTTCGATTCGGTTCGGTTCCAGTGAGCAGTGCCAGTGTGTGTGCGCGCGCGCCTTTCACGAAATACCCTAAAAAACAACACAGAAATAAAAAAGAATCATACAGTTAATACTTTGAAATCGAACGCGCACAGCGCGCAATGCAGGCTGCAGTTCAATCATTTTGCCTCTGAGATGGATCCAAAAAGTAATTAGCCCTTGTGTGATACCCTAACTGAGAGGCAGGCCAAAGCTTGCAGCTGCAACTGTTTGTTTTTGCAGTGTCGCGGCAGACAGTGTGTGTGTTATTTCTGGTTAATACTCCGTTTTGTGTGTGTGTGTGTGTGTGTTTTTTTTTATTTCTGCTGACACTCCCCCGTAAATTGTGATTTGTTTTGTCTGGCCGCACGACCAAGCGCTTGGGGCACGAGGCTGTTGCTGCCACTGCCACTGTCTGCAGCACGGAGCTCGTTCTGGACATGCGCCTGTCGTCAGCTTTTGCTGCTGTTGTTGTTTTTGCTGCTGCTGCACAGAGTGATTTTAATTGCAAAATATTGAATTACGATAAATAAGGCATGCAGCCAGCTTAGAGAAGTGTGCAAAAAATTGTTGACGTACTTTAAAGTGGGGCATAAACAGTTCAGCTGTCACAAACTATCGAACTATCGGCAAGGACATTCGAATTTAGTGCGTGACCTTGAATAAATGTGACTGTGTCGAGCCAGCATATTTGCGGGCAACTTTTGAGTTTCGGGTTTCAAGCAATAACTCAATAAAATTATTGAATTAAATTTTATAGTCAAACATATTTAAGCTTTACAAGAAATTCATTACAATTTTTTATGTTGAACATAAAAAACACACAAAACCAGTTAAACAGAGTCAAAAATGAAATAATCATAAACTTTACGAGTGCATAAACTTTACGAGATTTGTGTAAATTGCAAATGAGAATAATAATAAAATAAAAATAACAAAAATGGCGGCCAAGTGTGTAGAAGAAGACATTTTAGCACATACGCATGCCAATACATATGCACGTGGAACTGACATTGAATTTTGTCAAACGCACGAGGCCGGAAGAGTTGCCACACGCCCCCAAAAATGTGTATATACATACAGACACACAAACACAAACGTACATCAATCATCAACTGAGACTCTTTGGCCGAAAGGGCTGAAAGAGAAAGCTAAACACTCCAATGCACGAAATGCTTTGCTAATGGAGTATAAAATACACGCACACACACACGCATGCATACATCCACACAGAGAAGCCGCGGCAACAAAATGAAACTCAAATAACAATTATTAAGGCGTTGCCAGACGTGCACACAACAATTATGCGCCTGTGTGTGGGCGGAGCGGTGGCAACGACAACGGACGCGATACAAATACACAAGCTAGCCCGCGAGATACAATACACACGCACAAGCACACTCGTACACACACACAGCATTTCCAGTTCCAGTTTGTCGTTCCAGGTCTCGCGCATTGTTTGTGTGCGTTGTTTGTATGCTCGTGGGGCATTAAACACGCCGAGACAGCCAATGAGATGTTGTTGCCAGTTTGCTCGTATTTGTGTAATGCTTTGTACTCGCCCGCTCTCGCTCGCACTCACTGCGGCGTTCGCAGCTGTTGTTGTTACTCTGCCTGCACAGAGGGTGGCATGTGTTTGTGTGTGTGTTTACGTTTGCGTTTGTATTTGAAAACCAGTTTTTTTCCTGTTACAGCAGCAGCAGCAGCAGCGACTGCGGCAGCGGCGCAGCCGTATTGCAATGGTCGGTGAATGAACCGTACGGCGGCCCTAATATCTTTCTAATGTTACCTGGCTGAGAAACCATTTTCTTTTTTTACTCGTCTTTCCCTTGTTATCTTTTGTTGTTGTATAGCTTATGATGTTTGTTGCTGTTGTTGTTGCTGTTCTCTGCTGCTGCTGCTGCTTCCTGTGCTCGTTGCTGTGTTGTTTTTTTTTTGTACTGCTAGAATTTATGCTTTTAACTTTTGTCTCCCACATTTTGGATGTATCAACTGAGATTCGTCTGGGGCATTGAATGTGTATGTGTGGGTGTGTGTGAGTTACACGTTAGTGTGCGTGTTTGACTTCTTGTGACAAAATCCGCTTAATGCTGTAATTTTCCTGTTCGCTCTGGATATACGTATATTTATATGGCTTTCTAAACTATGACCTCAAGTTAAAGTTCATAACTTTTTTTGGCATTCGTTTTATTTATAGATTTTTAGATTACTTTTCATTATTGTTTATTAATTGACTGAATATAACTTTTGGCTGGCTTATAAAAGAGGTATGAAATCTGTGATCAAAGTAAATTTAAGTACTAATTGATCATATTTCATCTCATTTCTTTTATTTTTAAAAGTAGTAAAAATATATTAAGAAGATTATTAAGATGCTAATTCGACTTTTATTAAGGTTAATGTAAAAATTAGTTAAAATTCGTAAGTTTCAATATTACTGAATTTGAATTTTTCTTTAAGATATGCGCATTTGCTTTAATTGTATAGAATAAGCAGATAAAGTTATCGAAGTGTCCAAAGGTTCTATATATAATTCACACAGGACCAAAACCCGCGGCTATTGGAGATATTTTTTGCAATTTCGAAAGTCTATATTTTCTATCTGATTCCTTAATACATTTGACCATAGCTTCCATAAAAATTAGCCCTTTCACACCGCTTTTTGGACAAATGTCCCGCTGTGCGATTATGCATTTTTTCCGTCTGCTCCGCCTCGTAACGTACGTAACGTGTATAAATTAGACTTGATAGTTGACTGTAGATCTGTAGACTGTAACATGATAGAGAACTCGTAGATAAATGTTATTTGAAATAATTGATAATATTTGTTTCATCACTAAACACTCTGTTAACTCTAAATAAAACTTAAGTGATTTGAGTAAATTTCGAACGTTTTAGTTAATCCAATAGATATATGGAAACTTCTAGAGAATACACAAATATTGAATATCTCGTTAAACTATAGTGATCCAGATCAAACATACTAGATGGGCTGGGCCGGCTGGAGACTTCTTGACTTCTTGATTTAAAGTCCGCCCAAACTTTGCAGTTAATTCTAGTGAGACTTATATAGAGAGATGTCTGTAATAATTTTCTTGTTTTAAAATCCTTAAAACAGTTAATACTTAATGATAACTCTAACAATCAATAATTTTCTTAGCTACAAGTATACAAAAATCTGCTCTTTAATTATGCGTCATATTTTTTTGCGCTTTGCGAGGGTTTTATGCTTAAGACTCGCTTTATAGACAAGCAAGGCCTTCAATAATCTCTTGCTTAAACCGAAAATATATTCAAATTGTCAACACCATTTTGGGAAGAGCAACTTATTGCCCAGCATTAAGTGATCTTATATTGGGGGAACCAGCAATCCTCCATCATTACTAAAATGATCTCTTAGCACCGCAGTTGCGGTGTCTTCTATATTTAGTTTTAGATCCGCCCCACAATATGTCAGCCTTGTCGTAAATTTCAAGGTAAACATGCAACGATATAGTTATAAAAGTAGGGATTGTCGTATCGAAATGGAGCTATTTAAAATGGCGTCTGCTCTTGCTTCTATTTTTACTGAAATAGTTTTCGCTTACATAAAATGAAATTGTAGCAACAAATGGAATTTAAGTGTATTGCATGAGTGTGTGTGCATGCGTATTTGTGTGTGTGTGTGTGTGTGAGGGCATGTGCAAGGTATACGTATATACGTATATGTATATAGTATATGGTGTAGGTATCTAATGAAACGTGATTTTCCCCTAAACGTGACTTTGTATTGATTTTTTTCAACCATATTTTTGTTTCATTCTACGACTGAGTTCAAGTTGCTATTGTTCTTGTTGTTGTTTTAGTTGTTGTAGCTGTTATTGTTGTAGTAGTTGTTGTTGTTATTGTTGTTGCTTTTGGTTTTGCTGTTCTGTTGCACATTCACTGCTGCAGCGGCTGTTGCAGTTGCAGTTGCTCATATCATAAAATGTAAGACGCAATTAATGCCAGCAATTTAAAAATCTTTTACGATGTGAAATTTGCTTGGAATTAAAAGGAAATGATATAATAATAAAATGAAATTAATTGATTATTTATATATTTTTTATATTTGTACAATATTGTGTAGTTTATAGAGAAATTTAGTATATATTTTACTATATTCATTGTTGAGGCATCTATTGACATGTCTTATATACATATACATATATCTTGTAGCTTTTATATATATTTTATGATTTAGTACAAAGTTTATTTTCAATTATTAAATAAAATAAAAA